TTGTGTATTGTTTCTATTTCCGACTTTGTCTTTTCCAGTGATTCACATGCTCAAAGAATTAACAATAGCAACTCTAGATCCACTTGAAAGTGGGTGGAATAATGAGCTCCCTTCAAAGATATTAACACACATATGACAAGCAGTAACTGATCGAGCATCAGTGACTGAAAGAGCTGTCTGTCATCAATGAACTGCACATTGCCTAGCAGTTGGGCTGTTTGTTCAGTCTTGGGCACCAACGAGCTTTTTAGCATTCCTCAAAATTCCCCTATTATGTTCCATCCCATATCCTTTACCATTTGACATTAATACTGCAATAGTGGCTACAGGCCAAGCCATCAGAAAACCCAGCATTAGATTGTCTTCAGCCTTGCTGATGACAGGCTGCACCCAAAAGACCTTTGTGATGTTAAAAGATGCCTCAAAACTCCTTACACCATGGTTTCATCTGAAAACGCATCAGAGAAGTAGCTGGAAGTGTGCAGTCGACCACAGCAGCCCTATATTTAGGGGAACAGGTTTTTTTAACAATACAAGTCCACTGTCTTTGGTTAACAGTCAGTAAGAAACGAGAACATGCTGCCAGTTTGGTAAGCCTGGTCTTTCTAAGCAGTGAAATACATATTTCACGGCATGAACGCTCAACACGCCTTTCATTTCGCATCATATTATCAACTGAAATTAATTTTTTTTTTCCAACCAGAAACACTGATTGCTCCTTTCACTCCTCCAACTTGCTTCTGTACAAAACAACATCTTAAATGTAAACCAGCAACAAGATACTTATCACTAAACACAACACACAAGAAAATGTAAATTTTTTAACAGGCTTTTTCCTGAAAGTATCGATGACCAAAACTGCGAAGTGCTAATCCTGGCACACAAGCAGCAGACTCTCTGAAAGAAGAGGGAGGCAATTTTCTCAAGTTATGAGAGAAGTGCGCAGACTTTTTGTGCAGGACTTTTTTAACCCCTTCTCCCTCCTTAAGTGCCCTCCAGTAAATCAAAGGCACTTGAAACACAGAGGGCTATGGTCTGAACAGGACAAAGCACCACTCATTTAACATCTCTGTTTCTGTTATTTTATCATCTCAGTTTTACAAAGGAACCCCCTGCCATAGCATCTGACAATAGCTTCCTTGTTGGGACCAATAAACTTCCTAACTGCAAATGCAAAATGCTGTGCAAGAGCCAGATAGCATAAAAGGGTTAGCCCTTCCTTTATTTCACATTCAGGAGAACACCCCTAAACAGAAATAATTTCTCAGTTTGGAATATCTAGGAAAAAATCTGTTCTACTTTTAACAACCCTTGGTACAAGCCACTTGCCCCTTGAGCCTGCTGCATAGCACATCCATAAAAAGTAGGCACAAAGTGGGAGAAGTTACTCCATATGGGACAAAACCACCTAATAACAGGTGAAAGACTCACTGCTTTCACTACCAAGAAGATTCATTTTCCAAATGAAAGAGAGAATGATATGTTAGAAGTGAAGGTCAAGGGAGAATGGAATAGGATCAAGTCTTTCTTGCAGGTTTGGCTTTCCCTCAAACTCTGAACTGGCACTGGGAAACACCCCAGGGATTAGAGCATCTGTACAGTGTTGAAAAGTAAACACAACACGTCAAACTAGGAAAAGATCTAATGCTGTTATGCTACCTCATTCCTTCCACACTAGCGTTTACTTCGCAGAAGGATGATGCAGCTCCAATTTTCCCCGGAAGACTGGAAAATAGAGTATGTCTGCACAGAAAAGTGACTGTGTTAACTAACTCCTATCTCTTACCTCTCAACCTTACAGAAGGCCATCACTTCAGTTTCAGTGTTTTAAACTCAAATAAATGGGTCAGCTTTGGATACAGATGAGAAACTAAAATGAAAATGGCCTCTGACAGGTAATTAAGCACCCTGCAGCAAGGATGTGAGCTAAAGTGCCAGGCAGCCTCCAGTACCCTCTCAGTTCCTCCAGTGAGCTGAGGAGGACACTTAAAATTTATTGGAAAAGAGCTCTGGTGCTCCATTTACCTCACAACAAGCCTTGGGGTATGCGCTTAAGAGTCCCAGCAATACAGGATGAACGCATAACCATTAAGCAAGAACGCAGTAAGTCTGTTGAAAAGCTGTATTGAGAAACCCACATCTCAACCAAGGTGACAACCATTTGGAGCATCCTGCACTACAAACACATCCTCGTTGGGTCAGTAAAATATCAGATACACTTGCTTGTGATGGTAACTGCGGAGGAATTGGAAAGGAATAAATCTTACTATCTCCCATCTACCTGGAGAGGCTGCCCAAAAAGATGAGGGGACGAAATGATGGCAGGATTTCTGTATGATTAAATTCCAAAATACAAGAACGAAAACACAACAGAAATTAACCTTCTGCAAAAAGCTTAACTAAATCAGAAGTCAAAGCAATAATCATGCTTTCATTTCTTTCCATGTAATTTTTATTTAACAACCACAGTAGCTCCTTTCCAGAGACATTTCTTTCATAGAGTAATTCTTGTTGAGCTGAGATCAACAGCTAATATCCTTGCCACCAAAGCACACTGCTGTTTGTTTTAAACAAATATGCTCTTCTGAATAGGACAGAGTGTGTGCCTTAAGCTTAGACTCTTATCTTGAGACACACAAATGTTGGCTAACAACTACATTCAGTACTGGAGCAACATTTAATAGATACAATGAACAATGGAAGCACTGTAGAGAAAGGAGGAAGAATTTTTGCAGCTACTTCCTCTAATATGCTATTCTGATTTTGTAACATCACCTGAAAATTAGCAAACATCCATGACCATTGCCTGGGAAGCACTGAATCAACGCCCAGCATCTTAACAGCAGAAGTTTTACAGCCCTCTTCAGCCAGGTGGGCTAGAAAAAGGAACAGTCCTGTGCTGTCTGCAGCCACTCTATGTAATAAAGCAAAATCTCTGAAGAATACTGAAACAGTCTACGCTACAGAAGATGCACATTTCATCAGTGCAACATCTACTGATCAGCTGAACACAACCTGAAGTTTGGGTTTTAATTTTTGCTGTGCACATGAGGATATAAAGAGGAACTACCCCTACAGTTATCTATTTTAAAATCTCACAACTTGTATTTCAAACTACAGAGCTACTGTAATGTAAAATACTACCATGCTACAGTCCAACCATTGTAATTGACATCAGCCTCTTTCTTACAGTAAGAGATAACACATTTGCTTTGACCTCACTGAATCCTAGAGAGTGTGTATACCTGTGTAACAACTTCCTTCAAATATACAGAGCCCTACAAAATTGTGCGAGCAGTGTTTTTTCCTAACTCCAAAGGAGATCAAAGCCAATGCATTTTAAATATTTCTTGTAACAGACTAAGAACAAACTTGGTGTGGCTTATGATGCACAGGAACTTTTTAATCCTGACTGTGTAACAGCACTTGCGCTCTTTATGAAGTCCTGGAAAAGGAGCTATTTGTCACAAAATTATTTTAGAAATGAGAACAGTATGTTCAGTCCTCCTCAAAGACGACTGGTGCCCCAAAGGCCTGGACCAGCCTGGACCTTCTTCAGGGGTATCCTCAGAGGTTTGACAGTTGAAGAAACATTTTCTGTCCTATGCATAAAAGGATAAAGCATATTTACTAAAAGCAGCATAACATACAAACTGGGCCTAAGCACGCTATGGGGAAGTGCTCCACAGAATTACTGTTCACCTGTTCCAGCTTTGAGTATAACACATTAAGTGTCCACATAAACATGCTGTTTCCACTTCTCCATGTAGTTTCCCACATTTTGCAGGGCACTGCACACTTCATAGTAGCACTGTCTTCCTCTGTCACCAAATCAATGCCCGTAAATTTAATGTATACTAATATAAAATTACAGGTTTCCCAGGTATCATCACTAGCAAGTCACCTTGTCCTATGCACAACAGGCTTAAAAGCTATTTGAAAAATTATGTGGTTTTGGAAGTTGGATTTTATGTTCCCATTAAATTAGTTTTCCAACTTAAATATTTGATCTAGTTACAAGATTACAAACTTCCCAGATACTTTCCATAGCTCATACCATTTGGATATTGTACTCTTATGAAGAAACACTGTACTCTACAAATATTTTTAGCCTGTCACTGACTCCACAGCAACTCACTGATATTCCAGCAAAGTATAACTGTTAGACCATTCATAAGAAAGCTTCTAAGGCCATGACTACTTACTTGAAGATGAATATAAATGATATCCTTAGTGTCCGTTACTTCCCAATTAACATGTGACACTTCAGTGTGGAAAGCCTCACATAACATGTTCTTGATGACTAATTACTTCACCTATACTAATTTCCTGATCACGTGCCTCTAATATAAGAGAGAATAACAGGCCAACACATGCAAGTGCTTTCTGCCTGCAAAAGCTCTGAAACAAGGAAAATACATTTTAGTCAGAAGGTGTACAACATCAATAATTATGACGGAACCCAGCATTCCTGTGTATCAGCTTCACGGTGAAGAATATATAGTTCACTACAGTACTTGACTGTAGTGCACTAGAAAGGAATTCCTCTATTTCACATATATATATGTCTGTATCAGGGATCTCACCATCACACTAACTGGGAAAGCGAGTACCAAGCGTGACCCTCCCTTATCCTCCTTTTCAACTCACTGCTCCCCTAATGCCTTCTCGTTCTCCCACAGACTATCCCTTTTGGCCTACACCGCAGCATCATCTTCCTCATTTTGATTCCAGCTTCCACCTTCCCCAAAACAACATCCCCTTTCCAGGGTGGCCAAAGACACCCGGCTGCTTCTGGGCCTGGCGCAGCCTTCCCTGCGGGGAGCGGGCTAGAGGCGGGCTCCCACCCACCCCCCGACCCCCCGGCGGAGCAGGACCTGACCGGGAAACGGGTGACAGCCAGCACGGAGGGATGAGACGAGCCAGCCCCGGGTGGGAGGCCCAGGCCGGAGCCAAGGGGAGCCGGCAGCCCCACCGCGGCGGGGGCCGGGTCCGCTCACCTCGTCCTCCTTGTGGTTGCGGATTCCGCGCACCAGGTCCTGCAGGTTCTTGTCAAACATGCGGTCGATGCTGCCCTTCACCATCTTCAGCGCCATGGCGGCGG